TCTCAAAAAATGCAACTGTAAAAGCAGCGGTCTTATGTAAATTATAGAGCTTTTCACGCTACATCTTGTGGTATATTTCGTTTTTTTTAATACAAATATTAACTAATTAAGATTGAAATGCAAAGCATGAGACCATCTAATCTTCTCACCTATTATGATCTAATATAACCGGCACATATGCTAACTAGACTGCCATTCAGCGCTGTGCGCTGGATGGAATGTCGGCTGACTGCAGACTAGATGTTCATTTCCTTTAAATTGAGAGTTCATTGCTTGGTGGCCATTCGAAAATTTTTCTCTTAAATTTGAGACCTCATCGTGAACAAATTTAAATCGCACAAGGCGACCATTAATTAAAGCATACATGCATTGAACGTCTTAGTTATGAATGGTTGGTTCAAGATTGAATCATTCATCATCATATCAACGAACTATCAGCTGTTAATTATCTTTTTTCTGTATGTTTATTTCAATCGCTTGGTCGCCATTCGAAAAAAATCTCTACAAGTTTCAGACTTTATCACGAACTAATTTAAGTCGCACAAGGCGATAATTAATTAAAATATGTATGCACTTACCATCCTAGATATGAATGGTCATCTAAGATTGAATCATGCACACCCATATAAGGAAACTATCAGCTGTTAATTATTCATTTTCGGCATTTCTATAGCTCCCGAACGCCAACGAATTTCGAAAAACGGATTTCAGATGTGTACTCGTCACATTCTCACGATTTCGTCAAGCTTTTTTTCAATTGAAAATGATGTGAGGAGCTGAGAACGAGTGGCTGACTCGAATCGTGACTCATGTGTTGAGAAGAAGAAGAAGAAGAAGAAGAAGAAGACTAGACCTCTTCCCGGCCCAAGGCCGGCTAGAAAAGTCGGCTGACTGCAGAGCCCAAAAAATATCAAAACCTGGTTCTCTACGACATCTACTATTTCTATACCCAAGAGTTGTATAGAGGAAATCATAATGAATCTGAATCGTAAATTTCCATATAAGGAAGCTCTCAGCTGTTCATTATCGCTCATCGTCTCATCTGTCTAAACCACGAAGAGTTTTTTTTTAATGCTTGAGACTTCTTCGTGGATGAATTTCAGCTATGCAAAACGATAATTAAAGTATATATGCACATAAGATCTAAAATATGAATGGTCTTTTAAGACTGAATCACGCATACCCATATAAGGAAATTATCAGCTGTTAATTATTCATTTTCACCATTCGTATATCTTCCGAACGCTGCCGAATTTCGAAAAGCGGATTTCAGATGTGCACTCGTCACGTTCTCAGGATCTCGCCAAACTTTTTTTCGACTGAAAATGATGCTCAGAAGCTGAGAACGAGTGGCTGACTTGAATCGTGACTCATGCGTCGAGAACAAGGAGAAGAAGACTAGACTGCCATTCAGCGCTACGCGCTGGATGGAATGTCGGCTGACTGCTGACTAGATGTTCAATTTTTTTAAATTGATAGCTCATTGCTTGGTAGCCATTCGAAAATTTTTCTCCGACGTTCGAGACCTCATGATGGATGATTTTAAATCGCAGAAGGCAACAATTAATTAAAATATACATGCATTTAATGCCTTACATATAAATGGTTGGTTCAACATTGAATCATTCATCATCATATAAAGGAGCTATCAGCTGTTAATTATCGTTTTTCTCTATGTTTATTGCAATCGCTTGGTCGCCATTCGAAAAATTTTTCTACAAGTTTCAGACTTTATCATGAACGATTTTAAGTTGCACAAGGCGATAATTAATTAAAATATGTATGCACTTACCATCCTAGATGTGAATGGTCATCTAAGATTGAATCATGCATACCCTTATAAGGAAACTATCAGCTGTTAATTATTCATTCTCGGCATTTCTACATCTCCCGAACGTCACCGAATTTCGAAAAACGGATTTCAGATGTGCACTCGTCACATTCTCAGGATCTCGCTAAACTTTTTTTCGACTGAAAATGATACTCAGGAGCTGAGAACGAGTGGCTGACTTGAATCGTGACTCATACGTCGAGAAGAAGGAGAAGAAGAAGACTAGACCTCTACCCGGCCGAAGGCCGGCTAGAAAAGTCGGCTGACTGCAGAGCCCGAAAAATATCGAAATCTAATGCCATACGACATCTACTATTTCTGAACTTAGCATTGGTCTAGAGCAAAACATGATGAATCTGAATCATAGATTTCATCATAAGGAAGCGGTCAGCTGTTCATTATCGTTCTTCATAGCTCATCTGTTTAAACCATCAAGAGATTTTTTTAAATGCTTGAGACTTCTTCATGGATGAATTTAAGCTATGTGAAACGATAATTAAAGTACATATGCACATAAGATCTAAGATATGAATGGTCTTTTAAGACTGAATCATGCATAACCATATAAGGAAATTAACAGCTGTTAATTATAATTTTTGGCAATATTTATATCTCCTGAACGGTATCGAATTTCGAAAAACGGATTTCAGATGTGCACTCGTCACGTTCTCAGGATCTCGACGAATTTTTTTCAAACGAAAATGATAATCGGGAGCTGAGAACGAGTGGCTGACTCGAATCGTGACTCATGTGTTGAGAAGAAGAAGAAGAAGAAGAAGAAGAAGAAGAAGAAGAAGAAGAAGAATTTGCCATGGCAACTAAGCGAGTGAAAAGCAATAAGTCGGCTTTGACTGCACTTCGTGCAGTCAGCCGACTTAAAGAAGAAGAAGACTAGACCTCCACCCGGCCTGAGGCCGGCTAGAAAAGTCGGCTGACTGCAGGGCCCGAAAAATATCGAAGAATAATTCTATACGACATCTACCATTTCTAAACCTAACGCTCCTCAAAGTTTTTAAATGTTTGACAACAATATTTAGATAAATACAATTTGTATAAAATGATGAATAGCTATTAGACTGAAAGATGAAATTTTTTTTGTATGATGTCAGAGAAAAGAACAATTAAATTGATATAGATACACATGTGTCTGGTGTTGCAAATGATTTTAACATAATGAATTTGGACCGAAGTCAGAACAGATATTTTCTGTGTTTAAATCATTCACTCCACTAGGTAATATGCTCTTGGCAAAACATTATCATCTATTTTGTCTGATTTACGCACGCCATAGAACGTTTTATCTAAACGTACTAGACTCTTCCATGGATGAATTTAAGTTATACTATATGATAATTAAAGTGTATATGCACATAAGATCTGAGTAATGAATGGTCTTTTAAAACTGAGTCACGTATAACCATATAAGGAAACTATCAGCTGTTAATTATGGAAAATGATACTCAGAAGCTGAGAACGAGTGGCTGACTTAAATCGTGACTCATGCGTAATTATCATTCTTTTCGTTATATTTCTATCTCCCGTTTGGAGTCGAATTTTGAAAAACGGCTTGCAGATGTGCACTCGTCACGGTCTCACGATTTCGGCAATCTTTTTCTCAGTTTGAAATGATCATTAGTTACAGAGAACGAGTGGCTGACTTAAATCGTGACTCATGCGTCGAGAACAAGGAGAAGACTAGACCTCTACCCGGCCCAAGGCCGGCTAGAAAAGTCGGCTGACTGCAGAGCCCGAAAAATATCAAAACCTGGTCCTATACGACATCTACTATTTCTATACCGAAGAGTTGTGTAGAGGAAATCATAATAAATCTGAATCGTAGATTTCCATATAAGGAAGCTCTCAGCTGTTCATTATCACTCATCGTCTCATCTGTCTAAACCATGAAGAGATTTTTTTAAATGCTTGAGACTTCTTCGTGGATGAATTTCAGCTATGCAAAACGATAATTAAATTATATATGCACATAAGATCTAAGATATGAATGGTCTTTTAAGACTGAATCACGCATACCCATATAAGGAAATTATCAGCTGTTAATTATTCATTTTCACCATTCGTATATCTTCCGAACGCTGCCGAATTTCGAAAAACGGATTTCAGATGTGCACTCGTCACGTTCTCAGGATCTCGCTAAACTTTTTTTCGACTGAAAATGATGCTCAGAAGCTGAGAACGAGTGGCTGACTTGAATCGTGACTCATGCGTCGAGAACAAGGAGAAGAAGAAGAAGCAGAAGAAGAATTTACCATGGCAACTAAGCGAGTGAAAAGCAATAAGTCGGCTACTGCACTTCGTGCAGTCAGCCGACTTAAAGACTAGACTGCCATTCAGCGCTGCGCGCTGGATGGAATGTCGGCTGACTGCAGACTAGATGTTCAATTCTTTCAAATTGATAGCTCATTGCTTGGTAGCCATTCGAAAATTTTCCCCCGACGTTCGAGACCTTATGATGCATGATTTTAAATTGCAGAAGGCGACAATTAATTAAAATATACATGCATTTTATGCCTTACGTATGAATGGTTGGTTCAACATTGAATCATTCATCATCACATAAAGGAGCTATCAGCTGTTAATTATCGTTTTTCTCTATGTTTATTTGAATCTCTTTGTCGCCATTTGAAAAGGTTCTCTACAAGTTTCAGACTTTATCATGAACGATTTTCAGTCGCACAAAGCGATAATTAAAATATGTATGCACTTATCATCCTATATGTGAATGGTCATCTAAGATTGAATCATGCATACCCATAAAAGGAAATTATCAGCTGTTAATTATTCATTTTCGACATTCCTATATCTTCCCAACGCGGCCGAATTTCGAAAAACGGATTTCAGATGTGCACTCGTCACATTCTCAGGATCTCGCTAAACTTTTTTTCGACTGAAAATGATACTCAGGAGTTGAGAGCGAGTGGCTGACTTGAATCATGACTCATGCGTCGAGAAGAAGGAGAAGAAGAAGAAGAAGAAGAATTTGCCATGGCAACTAAGCGAGTGAAAAGCAATAAGTCGGCTCTGCCTGCACTTCGTGCAGTCAACCGACTTAATAAAACAGATCTTATCGAAAGTTTTTTATTATTCAATTAGTTGAAATATGATCGAGCAGCATAGAAAAAATGGAGCATTCTTTTCTCTTGAAGACTATATGAAAAGAATGCTTCTTAAAGTCTTTTATAAGGGATTACTGGCTGTGCGTCAATATTTTTGGACTGCCGTAAGTACATTATCATTTTAGTAATTTTTTTCTTCTAGGAAACATAATAGCACAATCCCAATCTGGTACAGGCAAATCCGCTGCATTTTCAATACCAATTATATCACGGATTGATCCAACTAATCGATCACCACAAGCACTTATTATTGTACCAACATATGAACTAGCTCTACAGATTGGCTCAGTTATTGAAAAAATGGCACAATTTTTGCCATATATTCGAATTGCTTATGCTGTCCGTGATCCAACAATGTCACGTAATCTTGTCCGTAGACAACTTTTGACTGAACCGATTGTGATTGGCACACCAGGTACAGTTGAAGATTGGTGCCGTCGACTACGTGTTATAGATTTAAATAGATTACGTATTTTTTGTGTTGACGAAGCTGATGTTTTGATAACAACCGAAGATTTTCAACAAATCAGTGTTGGTCTTCTACGTTATCTTCAGTATTCCAGTTGCCAAATGATGTTATTTTCAGCTACATATTCAGATGATGCTATCAGATTTGCATATGAACTTATTCAAAACCCAGTTGTTCTAAGATTAGAACGTACAAACCAAGTATTACATAATATAAGACAATTTTTTGTATTTTGTGATATTCCACACCAAAAATATGATGCTATTGAACAAATTTATGCGTCCTTAACTATTCGACAGGCAATAATTTTTTGTAGAAAAATAGCAACAGCACGCAGTTTAGCTGTTCGAATGGCGAATCAAAACTATTCAGTAAGAGAATTAACATCAGCTTTAGATATTGAACAACGTAAAGCAGTTATGAGCCAATTTCGCAAAGGTTTATTTGGTGTACTTATATCAACAAATGTTGCAACTCGTGGCAAGTTGAATCATATTACTTTTCTTTTATGAAACATGATCTAAAAGGAGTATTGAAGTATGTAGGTGTAGAAATTTGCAGTCTCCGCCACAGACATGATCGACATAGCGTCACAGACCGTGATCGAGAAGGTGGTTAACCATAATTTGATCGAAAAATACTGAAAGATAAAAATGTCGAACGATAATAATGTCGAAAGTTAAGAAATCGAAAAGTAAAAATGTAGAACATAAAAATCTCGAAATATTTTATGTCGAAATATAAACAGATCGAACATACATAAATAATTTTTCAGTGCAAGACAGAAAGTTCAATGCATTTGTTTCGTTAGAAGAGTTCACATATACAGAAAAAAAAATTTACAAGAAGGGTGAGGATGAGAGTGTGAGAGTTGAGCTGGATTGACGGAAGACGCCGAAAAGGAAAATGCCGAAAAAAAGTAGGAAAACTTCGAAAAGCAAAATGTAGAAGGTGAAAATATCGAAATAGAAAATAATGTGAGAGGAAAATATCGAAAGAGAAAATAATGTGAGAGGAAAATATCGAAAGAAAAAGTCGAATATGACAATAAATTTTCTTTGACAGACAACGAACTCATTTTATTTCTTAACATTACGATGACAAGATCCAAGGTAAAAATTGACTGGCACATCATTTTTTTTTCTTTTTCCAATCTTGAATAAAAGACCTCTTAAAAATTCTTTTGTATTGATTTCTTTATTGAGAAATCTTCCATTAAGAGTAGCGAATCGATTTCGAAAGACTTTTGTCTTGGATGGCTGTTTTGTTGCTGATGGTCCAGCAGCCAGTTGAATCAAAATATGTTCTAATCGAACATGCTCCAATTTAATGAATTGCACGAATGTCCAAATATTTGGATGATTTTTTGATCAACGTGAAGAGAATCGTAAATTGTACGCTAGATAACACGAAAAAAACAAATACGTGGAAAATTCGCACATATTTAGAAATGGAATCACTATATACACAACCTCGCAGATGTTGTTTGTTCGATGATCGAAGTCGTTGAAGTTCCGCATCTGCATCGGAAGAGACCACTCATTCATTGACCCTCGAAGCACAAAAATAGGTCATCTAATGATGATGTGATGGCTAGTAGACGTTGATATTGCTTATTGAAAATGAAACCAACATCGACATTCTCTTATTGACATTTTTTATCACTTTCGACGTTCTGCTTTTTGACATTTTCCTTTTCGATATTTTCCTTTTAGATAATTTTTTCGATATTTACTTTTTCGATGTTTTCCTTTTCGACATTTTCCAGCAAGACCAGCTTTATTATTTCTATGAGAAATAACAGAATACAATGATCTACTTTATTTTCAGGTATTGATCTTGAGGATGTGTCATTAATTATTAATTATGATATGCCTGAGACTGTGAACGCTACACCAGATTATGAAACATATCTTCATCGTATTGGTCGCTGTGGTCGTTTTGGTAGACTAGGTATGTATATTTTTTCTAAAATATTTGAATATTGTTTTCGTTTTCTTTTGAGGTTATGTATTTAATTTAATCAACTCATTATATGATGTTATTATAATGAGATCAATTGCAAAATACTTTAGTCATCCTATTGAAAGAATTGCTATTGATGATATAAGTGATCTTGAACCATATCAAGATTAAAAATTTATTTTATAATTCTGTATTCGATCGAATATTTAAATAAGAAAAAATTGTTTTCGTTTTATTGTCAAGCAATATATTACAATTAATTCTTTTTTAATTGTTTGTTTACTTGTATGTTTTTGTGAAACATTATCAAAAATAAAAATCCAAACATCAAAATTGATTTTTTATATTTCAATAGGAGAATGTATTTTAAGTAAATGATTAGTTTTTAATGATTATTTAATTCTGATTTGACCTGATAAAGGCCAATGACTATTTCTTTGATAATCATCACGTATTAGTGACCCAGTTTTATTCATAAAATGTTCTTTACGTGATTTTGTAAATAATTTTTTTGTTTTAATTCTTGAATATATTGTCGAAAATGACGTTTATTTGTATCTTCCGATGGTTTATAACAAACGGAAGGCTCGTCTACTTCTTCAGCCATAATCGAAAAGCATACAGGGTGTAAAAATATGATTACACCCCCTCTACAACTTAAAGTATAAATGATATCACAAAAGTATTTTATACCAAATTGAAGCTCATGAAAAGCTGCATTTATGAGTGTAATTATAACAACTATTGCCTATGAAATTAATTGACATCCGACAGTTTAATATTAAAATCGCCAGTAAGAGTGAAATTTTTCTGGATGCTAATTCACGCATTAAATCTTTGACAGCAGTAGAATGAATGACCATTGAATCTGGTTTTTTTTGTAAGAAAAAAGTATGTGATGCGTGTCAATACAGTGAATTTTCTCATCGATTCATATTTTGATATAAATCAGCCTATTGTTGCTGTTCAATAAAGTAGTTCACATGGATCAAAGATAGTTTGTTCAAATGTATTCATCATGAATTGTCACAGATTCCAATTTCAGCTGAAATAATTGTCTTTTTTCTGATATAGCTTACTCATTAACTTAGATAATCTGCAACTCTGATCATTGACATTGATAATAATCTTTAAAACAATTAGCATAACTGGATAAATTAAGAACTAGCAGCCATAATTGCAATTCCGACTTTGCTTAAGGGTCTTATCGGATGGCATAGTTCAAATTCATCATTTTGCAATAACAATGAAAACTGCAAATCAATTCCTATTATTTCTAATATGATGAATTCGAACTATGCCATCTGATGAAACTCTTAAACAAGGTCAAAATCGAGATCATGGCTGCTAGTTCTTATCTTGGCACAGATAGTATTTAAGAATATCGTTGCAATTGTGCACATAGAAAAAAAGAAAGATTATGTCTATCACTACTTCTTCTGAAATATTGCTTTGATCAGTTAAACAAAACAAAAGCAGGAAAGGAAATCTTAGACAATCACATGGATTGCTCAAATATATTTATTTGTTCGAGTTTGATAAAATTTTCTTGACCCAGTTCGTCTCATTCTGTTCAGTTAATTCATTTTTATTTTCAGGCAATATCGATATTTGATAACCAACTGTCAAGTCAAATAAACCTTTATGTGTGTTGATTTATTTCTGATAGTTATCATTGAGTTCAAATCCAAAGTATTTTGTTTCAGGGTGTGGGTGTGGGTGTTGGTGTTTGTGGGAGTCTAAGTCTTCTTGTCATATACACCCACACCCACACCCACACCCACACCCACATCCACACCCACACCCCCACCCACACCCACATCCACATCCACACCCACACCCACACACCCACAGCCACACCCACACCTTAAAAAGACTGACGTCAAAGTTGAGGTATTTCTCGAGTATCATGCACGGCAAGGCAGGTTATAGGTTATCAAAATACTATGTCCTGCAGTCCTCTAACCAGTGTCACTTATCACATAAGATAACGTTATAATAGCCAAATTAAAAGAGAGGAGGCTCTTGGTTAAGTTGTTCCGCATGCAAACCTGCCACTCGTTTGGAATTAGACATTATGGCTTCAAGTTCTGCTGATGATATAACGTCAGACAAATGTTCAAAGCCGTCTGGAGCACGTTCGTGGACGACTTTCAGAATCTCGTCACAACTATATTGTCGAGAAGCTAGAACCACAATATTTGAAGCTGGACGACGAAGATCATCGAATGCTTGGAGACCTTGGGGAGTAACACCGTGCTGACGAAAGGAAAGAATGAGTCCACGAGCATCGAGAATGGCTTGAGAGGCTCCGTTACCTCCATACGGATACATTGGATGAGCAGCATCACCAAGTAAAGTCACACGATCATGTGTCCATCGAGGTAAAGTATTACGATCAGTCATCGGAAATTTGTTGATAATCATTGACGACTGGATGATATGATGAATGTCAACAAAGTTAAGTTTCATGTTCGATATTAACGGAAGAAGATCTTCAATGTGACCAAGATTATTCCAATCGGGTGTCACTGGTGAAATTTGCATATTTGAATCTTCAACTCGAACCAGACAAGTCCAATTAATGACATTCTTGCTAACATGACCCATGACCAGTTGCACATCGTTTGGATTTCCCATTACAATCAATGTTCGTCCGCCCAAGAGGAGTTTGTCCGTTTGTGTCACACCACGCCATATGGTGACACCACTCCAAAGAGGACGTCCTTCGTCGGGATATAAAATCTTTCGTACAGTCGAATTAATTCCGTCAGCACCCACGAGTACTTTGGCCAGTTCGGTATTTTGACCACCCGTAGATGGGTTGACAAAATCGACTTCTACATGGTCCGAAACTGATCGAAACACCACTAACTTCTGGCTAAGACGAATAGATGTCTCTCCGATTTCATCCCGTATATGACGAAGTAAAAGTTGTTGAAAGTTACCTCGATGCATCGAGTACACAGGCCAGTTGTAACTAGCTTCAATGCCGGTCGGTTCTTCGTAAATAAGCTGTCCATGACGTGAATAGAATAAAGCCTTGCTTCTGCGAATACCGGCTTCATCCAAATCATGTTCGAGTCCAAGCTCATACAGTAATTTCACCCAGTTTGGATGGAGACCTACGGCAAACCCAATTGACTCAAGTGCTTGCACTCGCTCGTGAATGCGAACAGAGAATCCCGCACGATGCAAGCATAAGGCAGTGACGAGGCCACCGATTCCGGCTCCTGCGATGATCACATCGACCATATCTGAGTTCACTTTCTTTGCTTCATTGTTAGCAGTTGGTGTGAAGTTCGGCGCTTGCGATACAGTGATACACGTATCCGGCTGATTGCACTTTATAGCACTCATTATTATACGTAAATCTACAAAGACATTCATAATTTATAATTGACTATGGATGATGAATGATTTGTTCATTTACGAGAGGACAATGTGTGTGTTATCAATCATTCTACATACACAAGGAATGATCTTACTTCAACGATCGATTTAGTTCCTCTCAATTTTTAAGACGTGTTGAGCAGAAATAACTTGGCTTTCAAAAAAACTTGATTTTGATCAAATTTCGCTAGACTGACGGGTTTTTGAAAATCTGAGTAACTACATTTGGCTGCTCTTTCATACCTCAAACTGGTCAGTTGCCGAAAAGTCACGTTACTAAGTAACTGGAAGTAACTGATAACTGTCGATGAGTTTTTGTTTGTGCTGCTAGTGTCTTTAAATCATTTTTCTGATACGGTGCGTCACTCACGAGGGAACCTCTCGAGGTGATCAACGCCGATCCAACTGATATTTTGCCCATAAGTAGGACTCAGTG